GGTCATCAAAATTGGTGTAAGGGGTAAAGACTAAAGAGTAAAGACTCCATTTGTGTTGTAACCCAAAAGAAGGTCCATTTAAGTTTCTTCGACTCCACATAAAATCACACCATTTTTACTTTTGATTGCATTTTTTAGCTAATGCAAGAACTTTTGCTTAACAAGCAAGAAATGAAGCTGTTGAATTTCATTATAGATATGGACATGAAATGCATGTTGATGCATTTAGCTAGATGGTAAATTTTTCGCTCTTCGAATTCAATAATATTTATTAATTATGGAATGCCCTTTTTGTCCTTTTGAACTACCTCATGTTTATATTTGTTTATGTATATTTGCAGATAAATCCTAAATCTATAATCAACATGCTCACATGAGACTCTTGAGTAGGTAGGTAGGTATTTTATCTCACATTTTCCTTATTTAATTCTACCTTTTTTGTTATTTAATTACAATTTGTTTGTATATTTTTTCAATCTTTTAATTTGCAGTGACTATCGTTTTAGGTATTGATGATAAAAAAAATATTTAAAAAAATTAAAGAAAAAAAATGGGCCACGAATTTATAAAAGCCATCAATCGGTCGTTTCTTTAGGGGGAAAAGGAAAAATTATGTAAATTATATTGATCATTTTACAAGATTTAATAAAAAACTAGATGAAGGCCACTCATGCCACTGGCGCGGGTTTGAATGTTCAGGATTGATTTGAATATATGATTTTTTTGTGTCATCAAGAAATGAAAAACCAAAAAAGTCGAAGTATATTACCTTTTGATGCTAAAAATGATAGCAGGTGACTGCAAACCCTAAAAGAAAAAGTACATTGTCCTTTCATGAAAAAAGATTTCAAATACCAAAAAAAAACATTAAAATGAAAGTATGTTGCCCTATTATGCATAAACATAGTGCAGGTGAAAAGAAAACAATATGCCTTGATCATTGTTCAACTATCAGATGAAATCCAGTAAAACCGACAACAAGTAAAGTAATTTAGCTCGTTATGACTGCTAAAAAACATTAAAAGACTAAAAATTATCTTACAAAAGAAAACATAATTCCATAGATATAGGAAATATAAAATGAAAAAACATCAACTTTCCAATATTTATATATACACACCTGTAGCACTCTTACTAGATATTCCATAAGAGTCTTGTGGACACCTATTGTGAATCAAGTTTAGATAACTCTCTTTTCCTGGATAATAATTAAAAAAGTAATTACTAATGAAGACATAAAAAACATGGGTTATGGCAAAAAAAATGTTACTATTTATTAGTTTATTACCATTCCATTTGTTGATTCCAATAACATCTTACTTCAATTTCATTGGATTAAAGTTGAGTTGAAACAAACAACCAAAAATAAAGTAGATTACATAAAATGTTTGAATTTTTAAAATAGACAGATACATATCAAGCAGAGTAAGATGACAATGACAAACAGTAAAAAGTAATCATCTTAAATCAAAAATGTGGTTAGGTTTCATGGATGAAAGAAAAAAAAATGATGGAAGGATTGATGGTGTCAAGTGAAACCCAATCCATAGAAGAATAATATTTTTAGGCTTTAACATGGAATCATTGTTTTTATTAAGGATATTCTGGTTTATTCCAAGATTAGGGAGCAGCATGTAGAGCACCTTTGAGAGCTTTTGGGAGTTTTGAGGCAGGAATGGTTGTATGCCAAGTTCTCAAAGTGCGAGTTTTGGTTACGAGATGACCAGTTTTTAGGACACCACATTAATCAGAATGGGATCTTTGTCAATCCGGCCAAGACTAGGGTTGTGATGTAGTGGGAGGTCCCAAAGTCTCCCTCGGAGATCATGAGTTTTCTGGGATTAACAGGGTATTATTGGAGATTCATTCAAGATTTCTCCAAGATTTTTGTACCTCTCACTCGTTTGAAGAGGAAGGGTGTGGATTTTCGTTGGGGGCCTGAGCAGTAGGTTGCATTTGAGACACTAAGATATAAGTTATGTGAGGCCATAGTGTTAACCCTTCCTGAGGGTGTTGAGGGTTTTGTTTTTTAGTGTGATGTTTCCATCACTGGTCTAGGGCAGTTCTTATGCGGCAAGGAGGGATTATTATGTATGCTTCTAGGCAGCTGAAGCTGCATGAGGTTCAGTATTCGACACATGATTTGGAATTTGGAGTAGTGGTGTTTGCTCTCAAGATTTGGTGGCATTATCTGTATGGGGTCTAGTGTACCATCCACACTGATCACAAGAGTTTGAGATATCTTATGGATCAGTTGAATCTGAACATGAAACAACGTATGTGGCTTGACGTAGTAAAGGATTATGACTGTGAAATTTTGTACCACCCTGGGAAAGTGAATGTCGTCGTTGATGCTTTGAGCCGCACGTCGGCTAGTACTTCTGTTGGGAGCCTATATATGAGGATTTCGATTAATTCTTCATTATTAGATTTGATTAGGGAGGCTCAAGTTAAGGGATTCAAGAAAGAGAATTGGAAGCATGAACGAATCAAGGGCAAGATTGACAGGTTTTTGTAACATCCAGGAAATTCAGAAGTAAAGTTGAAGGGCTAAAAGTGTAAATAAGAAGATAGACTCGGCGAGTTTATGGATAGACTCAGCGAGTCGAGTCGCATTTCAGGTCGCGTGATAAGTGACCAACTCGGCGAGTCGCATGGGTGGACTCGGCGAGTTGGTGCTGTATGGAGAAAACCCTAATCCCGGGGGTTGAGCCCTATATAAAGAACATAATACCCACTCCCCAGCCTCTTTACCTTCCCTTTGAGTTCCAGAGGCCCTAGTTTCGTGTGAGCTTTCCTTTGTGAGTGATTAGAGCCTTGGAGGAGGACATCTTGGAGGGGAATTGAAGATCAAGAGGATTTGGAGCAAGGGGCTTTGCTGAAATTTGGTTCATTCTCCAGTATGAGCTTGTATTGGAGGTAAGAGAACTGTTCTTGAGCTTTTATCCATCTAGATCTATCATTTGTGGGATTTTTGGGTGTATATCTAGTGCTATCTTGAGTTTGGAGGTTAGATATGAGGTTGCTAACTCAGATCTAGAATAGTGATGATCCAAAAGTGCATAAAGTCCCTGTTCAAGAGCTGTTGATGAAGTCTTTTAGCCCCAAACCTTAGCCCAATAGTGTATTATGCTTAGATCTCCTTGGATTCACGTAAAGTTTGCCACTTTACGCGATGGATGGCTTGTATAACAGTAGATCTATGGATTGGAGACCATGCATGGCTTGGAAAGCCTCTGTAAGGGTTAAGAGCTAGTGGTACTCGGCGAGTCACATAGGTGTACTCGGCGAGTTGCATGAAGATAGGAAGAAACTCGGCGAGTTGGAAGAACAACTCGACGAGTTGGTTGAAGATAGCCTTGGACTCGGCGAGTCTGGTCTTGAGGTCCTAACCTTTTCTGGTTAAACTAAGAATCAATGTCATCCCATTTTATTTTTGACGCTTATTTTCGTTCTTAATTTATTATATCATTATAAAAAAGTATAAAGTACTTAAATTCATGTAATTCACATAATACTCAAATAATTCATTTTTATTACTTCAAAATAAGTTACATTTGTTGACCCTAACTATTACATCATCGTATTAATGCTTAGCCTAGAAACACGGGCGTTACAAAAACATACATGAATTAACAAACCTTAAAAGCGTGTAGCGTGTGGGAGAAACACACCGTACCGAGGCGTTTTTACAACACCAAACAACTTAATCTATCAAGTTAAACCTCAAACTTCCATAACTGGATCCTAATGATGTCAAAATGGATAAAAAAAATCCAACTTTATCTATCAAGACACCCTAAATAAACTAGATCTAAGACCCTAATCACTTAAAAATGTCCAAGACTCCATTTTTTATAATTTCATGGAGTAAAGAAAGCCCTGGCATGCACTCTGTACTCCATTTAAACCTTAGATCATAAGTAAAATAACAACCATAAGCTCAAGAGTTCATCAAACTCTTTGCAACAAGCCACAAAAGGGGCCAAAACCTAATAAAATGGACCAAAAACCCAACAAACTCTTAGATTTATGGAGGGAGCATAATAAAGCTTGAAACTTTAGAGTTTACCAAGGTCTATAGGTGTTAGTAAGGCTGAAATCTTCAAGACCCATGCTTCCTTGTCCAAATTTTCATGCATCATCACCAAAGAACACTATAAGAGCATAAATAAGCACCAAAATGAATCTAGGCGAAAGGATAGGTTTCAAACATCATAAGGGATGCTAGGGTTTCTTTAGAGAAGATTTAGATATGATGAGGATGAAAAATAGCGAACAGTAGAGTTAAATACACTTAACTAGGCCCAATTATGAGCCCATACAACGGGGGGCTTCATGCTCCAGGGCAACTTTCAGTTTAATTATGGCCTTCTTGTGGCAAATTACTTCACACTTCGCTCCATACTCATGTCTTTTCATAGACTATAAAACCCCCAAACCAAAAATGAAAATACAATAGGAAAACGAGTATACTCTTATCTTTTCATAGGCTATAAAACCCTAAACCAAAAAATGAAAAAAAAAAATAATAATAATCGGAAAATAGGTGTTACACAAACAACAAGAAAAGGACCAAAAACAAGCTTATAAACCTAGATCTACAACTTAAGATGCAAAAAGCTTATAGCTTGAAGACTTATAGAAGTCCAAAGCAAGGAAATAAGTTGATACTTGTGGAGCTCTATCACTCTTGAATCCAAAACACCTCATTCACCTTCTTCTTTCACACAACAACACACTAAACTCAAGAGATGCTCAAATGGGACCAAGGTTAGGGCAAGGGACGTTTGCATGAGATGAAAACTGTTAAATGATGCAACCTTAAAAGTTAGTGCCTTTAAATAAACCAAAACACTGAGTAAGGTCGCACTGTGAATTCTATGTGTCACACGGTGACCTTCAGTAAATGGTTGCTAGGTGACAAGTCTCACTGTCATATCACGAGTCCGTCCAGTTCACATATTAAACAACAAAAGAATTATATACTGAAAATCGATATGCATGTGTTACATTCGTGGATGATCACATGTAAAAATCTCGCAGAAGGCGTCCTACCATCCTGCAAGATCGTAACTATTTTTAACATTTTACTATTGTTTAATTAATTTTAACAAATAATTTATAAGATTTACATAGTTTATCATTTTCAAATAAATAAATCGTATTTATTTCGTCATAACACTACTCATGCCATTTGGGTCGAGTCACCTTTTTGGACCATGTACACCTAATATCGAAGTCAAGAAAGTGCCCACCGGCCACCTCTCGTTTTCACACAAACATTTCAAACTCTTTCGATCTTTTCTTATTTTACATAAAAGGGAAAAAAAAAAAAAAAAAAAAAAAAGAATAATAAGTCGGTTATTTCTTCTCTGTTCTTCCAAACAGATGGCTTCTCTGCCAACTTTATCAAACAGACGTTCTTGGTTTTAGGATTTATCCAACTTCAAATTCCTTTCCTTGATTTCTCCGGTTTAACCTTCGAATGCTTTCCAGATTTCTCTAGCACCCGGGGTTCTCTTCTCACAGGTTCGTAATCAAACCGTGTTCTATTTCGTGTTTTTGTGATCGCTTATCGGAATAATATCGTCTCTCGGAGTTTGGGTTTTTAGGGTTTTTGTTTTGTTAGATATTTATAACGATCAGGTTTTAATTCTACCCTCGGGTTTCAATGTTTTGATGAATTTGAGTTTATTTGCTTTAATCGTCATCGTTATTTCCACATTTTTCTTCTGCTTAATTCCCGAGTGATAGTTCCCAAAAGAATAGTCTCCCTTTTAAGCCATCGCTATACGACTTCTGTCGGAATCCGTTTCTTGTAGGAAATGTCTGTTGATTTCTTTGTTTACAATTTTAGTTTAAAGTTGTACAAATTTGAGATTAACTGTCTTCAAAGAAAACGATTGAAGACTTCCATACGCGTTTTCTATTTAGAGAAACTGTTTTTCATACAACTTTTTTTCTTCTTCCGCAGATATCAAGCTCTTAATCTCATGGCGACAGCAACAATGGCAACAGCAGCGGGTGCAGCTGCTCTGTTATATTATACTTTAAACAAAAAACTACAATCAGGCACAACACCCGATGACGAAGAAGAAAGTGATAGCCTTGTACAGAGTCATGGTTCTTCAGGAGTTGAACGAGTATCCAGTAGACTAATCCAGGCTCCTGCAACATGGCTGGAAACCATTTCAACTCTCTCAGAAACTCTTCGATTTACCTATTCAGAAACTTTAGGTAAATGGCCAATTGGAGATTTAGCTTTCGGCATCAGCTATTTGTTGAAACGACAGGTTAGCATGTAACATGATGTCAATTTCACCATGATTTGACTCTTCATTTGATTGATGGAAATATGGAATATGATCTACAGGGGAATTTGCATGTCAGTAGTGTATATGGAGGTGAAGAAAGCCTGCAACTTACAGGGCCTGAAATAGTTTCTGAGCTTAAATATCTCTTAGACTTGTTGACTCTTTGCTGGCATTTCTCCAAAAAAACATTTCCCATGTTTCTAGAGGAGACAGGCTTTTCACCTGAAGATGTTCTTATTCAGGAACCCAAAGCTGGAGTAAGTATTCTCTCTCTCTATAAATGATGTTCTGCTTACTTTACTGTTTCTTTCTTTTGGTGAGGTTGATCTGACCATTTTACCCTTACCTTTGAAAAGAAAACAAGACTGTAATATGACAATTTTGGTTAGTTTATCTCAGATTTTGAAGCCGGCTTTTACAATATTAATAAACCACAAGACAAAAACATTCCTTCTATTGATTCGTGGGACCCACAGCATCAAGGACACTCTAACAGCTGCAACAGGGGCAGTTGTGCCATTTCATCATACAGTTGTGCATGAAGGTGGAGTTACTAATTTGGTATTAGGTTATGCTCATTGTGGAATGGTTGCAGCTGCTCGATGGATTGCAAAGCTTGCAACTCCTCTTCTTCTTAAAGCATTCCAAGATTACCCTGATTATAAGCTTCAGGCATTACTTTTTTACTTTTTATCTTTCCTTTTCTTATATTCCATCATTTAATTTAATAATATATATATATATATATATATATATATATATATATATATATATATATATTAAAAAAAAAAGATTTTATATTAAATTCAGATTGTTGGACATTCTTTGGGTGGTGGAACTGCTGCACTTTTAACTTATGTCCTAAGGGAACAAAAAGAACTCTCTGCAACTACCTGTGTCACATTTGCTCCAGGTAAACCTATCAAGTTATAGCATTGTACTTTATTTATTTATTTATTTTTTCAAATTAATAAAATCTTGATTTCTATAATTGAAAATTGTTGATATGATAATTATTAGGTGCTTGTATGACATGGGAGTTGGCAGATTCAGGGAATGAATTCATTACATCTGTAATAAACGGAGCTGATCTTGTCCCCACATTCTCAGCTGCTTCAGTGGATGATTTACGGGCAGAGGCAAGTACTAGAATTGTAAATACTATATTTTTCAGGGGGTGAAATGAAACATTTTTTTTGTCATGTCTCCACAGGTTACAGCATCAGCATGGCTGAATGATTTAAGAACTCAAATTGAACATACAAGAATTCTTAGAACATTTTACCGGTCAGCATCCGCTTTAGGCTCCCGGCTTCCATCAATGGCAACCGCCAGAGCAAAAGTCGCCGGAGCCGGCGAAATGCTCCGGCCAGTTTCCAGTGGCACACAGGTAAATACCATGTTCTTTTTCCTAAAATGGAAAACTCCATAAAATTTGTCCTCATAATCTATTTAGTCCTTATATGTTTTATTTTATTTAATTAAGTCTCAAAAATCGGCAATTGTATTTGTTTTGATGCTTTTACTCGGTTACCAGGTCATCCTACTTTCAAAAATTACACTTTTGGCCCAGATTTTGAATTTTTAAACAAATTTGGCCCAACATTTACACTTTTGGACCAGATTTCAAAATTTTGTTACGAATTCATCTTAAGTTTAGTTTTTTACTTTCTTTTTTCAAAAAAAAAAAAAAATCGATTATCTTTTGTTTGTTGTATAAAAATCATTTTTATACAAAAAAAAACATATTTTTCACATAAAAAACCTTATTTTTTCTATATAATTTAAAATAAAAAAAAAACATTTTTGTATGCAAAATACCTATATATTATATAAAAACCTTTTTTTTAAAGCATTTTTTAATTCAATTGCCCATGAGTATAAGTATGATTTTATACAACTAACAAAACATATTCAATTTAAAAAAAAAAAAAAAAAGATGTAAAAAACTAAATTTAGGATGAAATTGTAACAAAACTTTGAAATCTGGGCAAAAGTGTAAATTTTGGACCAAGTTTGTAATAAAATTTAAAATGTTGGCCAAAAGTGTAATTTTTGAAAGTGAGATGACCTGCTGACCGAGTAAAACTGTTAAAATGAATACAACTGCTGATTTTTGAGACTTAATTGAATAAAAAAAACATATAAGGACTAAATCGATTACGAAGCCAAAACATAAGGACTATTATGGAGTTTTCTCTTTCTAAAAAGTTGCTAAAAATGGTGGACGATTCTAATTTATAGGTGGTGATGAGGCGAGCACAAAGCATGGCTCAGGCGGCATCAGCATGGTCCCGCCCGACTCTCGACATCTCATCATGGTCATGCATGGGCCCTCGCCGGAGACCGGCGGCAGCCGCCAACATGATGTTGCCAGAGCAGCCGTCTTCCACCACCGAAACGACAGCTCGAGCCCTCGAACTCCCCGTGTCTTCATCGGACGAAACAAACGTATCGGGCTCACGTTCTGCTGACGTGGCAGGCACCCATGAAGACCGAATGACTGAGTTTGAACTATGGGAACAGCTTGAACACGAGCTGTATGAGCACAGTGAAGGGGAGGAAGCTGACGTGGCGAAGGAGATGAGGGAGGAGGAGGAGGCGGCAAAGGTGTTGCCGGAGAACAGTGTGGCGGATACGAAGGAGGCGCATAGGTTTTTTCCGGCGGGGAAGATCATGCATATAGTGACGACGGCTCCTCAGGTTGTGGAGGAGAGAGAAAGTAATGACACGTCATCATCAAGTGATACACATGATGATGATGATGATGATGATGATGAGGTGGTGGAAGATAAAGTGGGGATATATTTGGCGCCAAGGTCGTTGTATAGTAAAATTAGATTGTCACATAGTATGATAACTGATCATTTTATGCCGGTTTATAGAAGACAGATGGAGAAGTTAATACGGGAGCTTGAGAAAGATAAGGTGTCGTTGAAAAGTCAAAGTAGTTCTGAAGAAATTGAAGTAGTGTTATAGTAAGTGAGAGTCTTGTACATAATTAGTTCATATTTGAAGATTCTGACTGACACCTGTTATGTTTGTTGTGTTTAGTTTATAAAGAAACCAAAGTTTTGATATGTTATGTAGTCACAAAATGAGTTTGTAACAGATTATTGTTGATGCATTAGGCTTGACGTGTAGAATAATAGATTATCAAACATAAAGTTTCAACATATTCACAGTCCTGATATGATTCCCCCATGTGATCCTTCATAGAAAAACCAAACATGTCAAATTAAATGGAAAGTTTATTTTCATAAGTAAATAAAGTGGTTCCCCAACTTATCTCAAAGGGAAATCTGACATTAGCAATAGTTGAAGATGTTGGATGAATTGGCAATATGCTTGTGTTTGTTGTCTGTAAAGATTTGTTCGAGACATGATCAAAGTCCTTGAGTGATGGTGTCATGTTCGCAGACTACATATCTTTTGTCTTTGAAAAAAAAAAAAAAACATCCATGATATTTTAGTACAATGAAATTTATAGATTACTAATAGAGTTCAATTATTGATTTTATTCCTAGTTATGATGCGTGTAGTATATACATTTGTATAAAGCGGGTTTGATTTCAGTTCGACCAAATGACAAGGTTGATGGGGGCCTCCATCCTGGGGTGCGGGGCAATGCCTGGACCCGAAAATTTATTTGTTAAGAAAAAGTTTATGAAAATCTTATTTTCAATATATATTCTTTATAATTATTCTTAAAACCGACATCTTTTTTTTGTAAGATAAAATCAGTATTTACTTATTTTTGGTAATCAAAAGAATTTGAATTTTATACAAACCCTAGTTTGTGGCATCTTATTAGTGTATTGATTCGAGATTGTTCCTTGGAAGATTATCATCATAATCTGAATTTCATGTTAACATAGACATAAGTTCGAAACATCAGATACAAAAAGCGTTTACAAAATTCTTCAAGACGATCAGCGTTCTCACTGATTTCAAAGTTCTTATCCTCCTCCCTACCCTAATAGAGGTGTAATAAAGGCTTATGAGGTAGAAGGTGTTTAGGATTACGATGTTGTGTAATAAAGACTTAGGTATCGTTTGTTTTTTCGAAGCGAAAATGTTTGAAGTCTGTGGATCACCTCTACAACCCTCTATAGCAGAAGAGGGGGACCAAACGGCTGTAGCTTGTAATAAAAAGTTTGTTTTTTAATCTCTGCAGACTGCTGCAATAAGCTAAAGTAAGACGTGAAGATGTTTGAAGCAGAAGGTCAAGTGTTGCGCCACACAGCACACGCGCAACAGTTTTTAAGTCAGAAGTCTTCTGAAAAACAAACATTTGCAAAGAGCTAAGTGTTGCGCGTCGCAACAATAAGTGGTTAGAAGAGATTTTTTAGAAAAAACAAACAACATCTAATAGTTGTCTGAGTATGATAAAGAAATACTGTAGGCACTTTTATTGGTTATGTGCACATCAAACAGAAGATTAAGTGTTGACATAAAAAATGTTTCAATAACACATCGGTGCATTGAATTCTATAAAATTCAATGAATTGTCACATCATTATTTCATTTTTCATACAATATTATCATTTTTTTTTCGTACCATGTAATCTATCATTTCTAATAAATGAAAGTTTTTTTACTACTTGTCACATTCTCATTCACATTGTCAAATATCATTTTGTGGTTATTTTGAATTATTATTTTTTCACATGTCATTTTATGAGTTTTTCTATTTTATTAAATTCCACATAATATTTAAATTTAATAATTGCAATAAATGTAATAATAAATGGATATCAATTTCATTAAAGAATTTACCTTTTAATTTCAAAATTCTCAAAATTAAAGCTCATTAGTTTCTTTTATTTATTTGAATTATTTGTTTAAATTTAAAAAATAAAAAACATTTACATTATAATAATTCATTATTTTTCTTATTTTCTTATAAATTTAAAGTTCTTAAATATTTTGACATTTATATTTAGCTTTTTTATTTTTATTTTTAAATTAACCTATGTAATATATATATATAGATAGATAGATAGATAGATAGAGAGAGAGATCGAAATTATCTCTCCAAAATAGTATTTATTTAAAGAGAAGAGATTGCAACATGGGCGGAGACACTGTTGGGGCTGTTAGATGTCTCCCCCTGTCCGAAAATCGAAATTACCTCTCCAAAATAGTATCATTAAAAACTGATTATGAATCCATCCCCTTGTCTTTTTAATTTTCAAAAGTTTATCATTTTTAATCCCTATTTCCTATTTTGTTTTCTTTCTAATCCACTTACATTATTAAAATATATTTGTTTCTCTAATGTTACATATAATTGGTACTATGTAGCCGACCACTTGGTACAAGCACAATGGTTGATGTATAAAGGACAAAAGAGTCCCGATGATTTGGCAGGGGATCATGATTACCAAAAGCTACTTTCGAATCCTACTTTCCCCACAAAACTAAAAGCATCTTCAATACAGACCTCATCCAAACAGAATCATCAAACATCACAGCTCACAGCTCACAACCACACTGCTTACTTTTTCTTGATTTTGAGCCACCTTTTTTAACCATATCTATGGCCGAATTCATGTCCTTCCTTCCAACCAAAAACACCATAATCAGATTCTTGAAAAACCACACAAAAAGCTTTTCCTTTTCATTTCAGAATCAACTTTGGTCAAGATAAAAGATACCCATATGTGCACCTATCAGAATTATTCCATAAAGATTACATTTTGCTTCATTAAAATATGAATCTTGATCATAATTGCTTACAAGCTGTTTGATATGTCTCTTACTTGATATGGTAAAATGTTGGATCAGACTGTTTGATATCACATTTAGAATCCTCAGATATGCCTCTTACCCGGTCTGATTCAAGATTCAATGTTGTTTCTGATTGTGTTTGTGACTCAATCAGATCTAACTCAATCAGTAACTATTGAAGAACCCCTTGATTTATAAAGAGATAAGTATTATTACAAAAACCAAATTACACGGTGATTATTGGTGAAACCCCACTGCAATTTTATAACAAAAGAAGAAGAAACCTAAAAACATGCTTAAATCATGTGGAATAGCTAAACGAGAGACGTTTTAAACAAAAATTACAACATGGGTATGATATTTGGTAGCTTGAATTGCCAATTATGAAAATGATATTCATTCCTAAAAGAGATGTTAAAAGAAAGATGTTGATCTTGATTTGATTAGCATTTAGCCAGACCTCACTCTTTTTTTCCCATCAGATCTTGTTGTCCCACCTGACTCAGCTTCAGATGATGCATCCATTGATTTGCTAAAAGAGTTTGAAAGATCACCATAAAGATCAACCACTCTTTTAACATTGTTGTTGAGTTCTCTGATTAGACCCACGTTTCTTGTCAAGTTAACAGGTAATTTAGATTCTTGATTCTGATTGATTTCATTGATCAGCAGTCTGTTTTGATCCAAAATGTTTTGGACTTGAACAAAGCTCTTTTGAAATGTTTGTAGTACTTTCCCATCTACTCCTAATTGTGATCCGTTTCCAATTCCTGAAAATATATCACCTTCCATTGTTCTTTCTTTTTCTTTTTCTTTTCCTCCCTTGTGTTAAATCAGAAACACCCAGAATTAAACACCTGAAGTTTATGAAGTAGTGAAAGATTGTAAAGTTAATAGAAATCATCACAAATAGTTAATGTAAAGGCAATCATGGATTATGTTATATGGGTCCTAGCAATCTTTCAATTCCGTTTTTGGTTTAGAATTTGGAGTAAGATAATTAATCTACCTATTTATGATTCAACCAGCCTTTTGTGGACAAATGATGTTTTACTGAATTTTCTAAGTAGAATATACAATGCCCCAAAATTGGTAAACAGGCATATAATCTTGATATTTCAAGAAAGAAATCTATTGAAAAAAAAAAGATCAGGGCATCTTTAAATGGTGGAAAGAGGAAAAAGGGTTCTTGCTTTAAGTATTACGAACCCCAATTAAACACAACAATGTCATGAACTGCTTTATGAGAAAGATGGCATTTTATCAAACACCCAGAAGGCAAGATTACAAGAAACTAAATCCATGAAGAAAAGGTCGAACAAAAAACAGAAAGAAGCATTGAAATTCATGGAATCGTACACATCAGTTAGAAAAAATAAAGCAAGAAGGAAGGAGGAAGGAGGAAGGAGGAAATCATTCACCTGCAACATAAAGAACATTATTTGCGGAAACGTCAAAAAGGGTATCGAAATCAGGTATTCCCCAAAGGCTGAGATTAAGCAGAGACCCTGAAATCATCAGCAAGAAAGAAGAGAGAGATATACAATTGGAGTCTTCTGTATACGAGATTTGACAGTACACACGACGTGTATTTTGGTTCTCTCTCCCTCTCTCCCTCTTTTCTTTTTCTGTTTCTGTTTCTCTCTCTTCCCTCGTTTACTTCACCTGCGGGATTCTCCGCTGTTTCTGAATTCTGATTGCGTTTTCTTTTGCTTTTCTGGACGAAAGAAGACGACTTTTGGCACTCATGAGATGTAAATGTTATGTACCGATGTCTATTGGACCGGGTGGGTTTGAATGTTTTCTGGACCGGATCTAATCCGACCTAATCCCCAATTTTCTTGATTTTGACAGAAAGCAATTATTGTAAATCCAATGATCCATAATGGCACAATCACTTTTTTTGGGTACAATAAATGGCATAATGAGACCCAATCAAGTAATGCTAGTTTAACAAAATATAATTGGTTTTTAAAAAGACCCAAAAGGAAAAATAAAAAACCATCTTTAAGGTAACCAATTTTATGTTATTCGCTCATTGATCCATAACCTAGAGTAAAGATTTAACGGGTTACCATGCTTCTCATATTTGCTCTTCCATGAACGTCATTTCATTTCTTATAATTCTTTTATATTTATTTTCACCTGTGACCTTATATTGTCCCTTATTTTTTTACTGTAAAGACTCTTGTATGTACAATTGAAAATTGCACAAAATAAATTGAAACATAGGATGAGGTGTGGTGAGTTCTCACCGCACATGAGAAAAAATGAGGGTAAAAGAAGGTGGGACGGTGTTACCATAAGCATTGCAATGTCATGTCGTCTTAACTGCATCACAGGATGAAAGTACTCTATTTTGATTACGGTATGTGGATGTATGTGTTGAAAGGAAGTTGATGATTAGATGTTGATGACATCAAAAGAATCAAGTGTTGAGCGAAATATCCAAATGATTCAGTAGAATATCCAACCACATAACACTTCTCTGACTTGGGTTCTAATTCGTCTTGAGTCTCATGTCAAACGTAAGCCTCACAACACCAAATTTTTAAATATGATAATGAAATGACAGTTTCATTCCATAATTCAATTGGTGTTTAGGACTTTTATTGTAGTCTATAAGGCATATTTCCATAACCTTAGAGGAAGCATATTGCGACTCATCATGCACCAAACCATATCAAACAATGTTTGGTTTCTCCTCTTAGCTACATCGTTATGTTGTGGTGTTATGGGTGGAGTCAGTTGTGAGATTATCTGTAAGACCCATAAATTCGGGTTAGTCAATTTAGAGATAATAAGCAACAAAAAAATGAATTTTTGTCGGAAGATTATTTATAATAAATAATATTAACCAAGTTATAGTATATGTCACAAGGGTTTTGTACATATAAAGAACGTTGAAATCCGAGTTATAACGAAGAAGTTATGATATGTCGAAGTTTTACGATAAAACCGACATGACACTGAGAATCATAAAAAGTGAGTTTACGATAAAGTACTTTTTAGCCTTAGTGATCTAAAAGAAAGTTTTAGAGTATGTCTCCACCTATGCATGGATATAAAGAACATAAAAAACGGAGCTCATATGCAAAAGTTATATTTTTCAGAAGATGTAGCTGTCTGAGAGCATGACACGTGGCGGAAACCCTAATCTGTCAGGGTTCACAACGGGAACATGTATTCTCATGATGTGAGGAGTCAAATAGACACATTTCAAGCCTAGAATACAGATGACAAGTCTAGGGAGTGATAAGTTTAGGGCTTAAGACGTGAGCATGTTTTCTCATGATGTGAGGAGTCAAACAGACACCTTCCGAAGCTAGGGACGCAAATGGCAAGTCTACGAGGTGATGCAGCCATGGCTCACGACATGAGCATTGATTCTCACGATGTGAGAGGGCCCAAAAAACCTATAAATAGCAAGTCCGACCCATTCTCTCATTACACCAAATTTCCTTTCCCTCTCTCGTTTGCGGAAGACATTCCTTATCCCAAACCCGACGATCATGAATCGTTGACTGTTTCTAGTTAGATTCTATTAAATCACACTACTAAGGTGATTGCATAGTTACTTTCATCTTACGCATAGATATGAAGTATTTAATATAAATTATGTGTTATGCGTGCATATTATCCGTGTTCCTAATTTCTATGCTAGATGAATGATTTATACATGTTTACGTGATTCAAACTGAATACATATTTTTATACTTATAAATATATATTAGGTAGTGACGGGTGATGAGAGATAGGTGATGATAGAAAGGTGATAATAATTAGGTGATGATGAATAAGTGATGATAGAAAGGTGATGATAATTAAGTGATAATAAATAGTTGATGATAAATAGATGATCTGAGATGAGAGGAGATACCATAACCTTGACCTGTGATGTGGCGATGTAGTCATCTACCAGAGTGTATATGGCGACTAAGGACTGTTCTAGACAGTCAAGTGGAAACACTAGAAGACTCATAACATGTAGGTGATGAATTACGAGTTCATGCGATGTTGTAACTACATATTCATGCAATGATACTCTAACCCTTACTATGAATTACGAGTTCAGGCGATGTTATAACTATGTATTCATGCGATGTTGTAACAACGTATTCACGCGATGATAACCTTACCCTTACTGGACACGTATTGAGGGAGTAATCCCCGAATCAGTATTGTCTATGCGATGTATGCGATGATCCTTAGGAAAAGTCCTTAGGAACCAACATGTAAGGAAATGCGATGTAAGGAGATGAGATGTAGATACGATATAAGAGATGACCCTTAGGATAAATCTTTAGGGAAGATTAAATGAAGAAAATAGGCATGGGTAATCGGGTTAATTGTTTGACATGAATTATGTGAAGAAACAAATTAACTATATTATTGTGGGTTGATAACCCTATGTACTCACCAGGTTTCTCAACCTGACCCACTCAGTTTATTTGTATCACAGGTCGCTACGAAGCTACATTACACTAAGATATTAACGGAGATGTAGATCATTAGTGTAGATAAGGTCTCTTTATGCTTATGTGTTTTTGTATTGACGATGACATCCCAAAGTTTTAATATGAACAAAATACATTTCTTCAGAAATGCTTTGATAATATCTTTATCATGTTTTTCTGGGAACAAATTCCTCAATATTACTTTTTTAAAATGATACTCTGATTTTCAAATAAGTATAAATAAATTTTTTAAAATGACCGTGAATTTGGGGATGACACATTATCCCACAATTTCTATGATGATCGCAAAATACATCATTAAGATACTCACCACCCTTATCGGATCTGAGAATCTTAATCTTTTTCCCAAGTTGATTTTCTACTTTGTTTTGGTATGTTCTGAACACATTAAACATTTCAGATTTGTGTTTAATTAAATAAACATAACCATATCTACTGAAATCATCAGTAAATGTAATAAAGTACCATTCATTGTTCCTTGTAATTGATATGAACAACCCACACACATCAATGTGTACGAGTTCCAACATAACCTTTCCCCTTTCATAATTTCCCATAAATGGTGCTTTTGTCATCTTTCCTAATAAACACTATTCATATTCATTATAAGATGCAGTGTTGTAAAACTCACAGATTTGGCCGATTACTCAGCCGAGTACTCCCTAATTGGCCCCTTACCGAGGCGAGGTATAGAATCTGAGTTCTCCCCGATCGGCCCCTTACTGAAACGAGCAGTGTTGTAAAATCAGTGTCCCATCCCCAATTTCATGGCCGGAAAAGATCGATTTGTTTATGCTTTGTTTTTAAAATCAGATTAATCGTTTAAAGAAAACTATTGCGAAATTTGTTCCCAAAACAAAATATGATAAGAATTTATCAAAGCATTTCTTAAAGAAAAGTATTTTCATTATATAACAAAATCTCAGGATGTCATGTTCCGATACAGACACATAAGCATAAATAGAACTTACATTTATTTACACTAATGATTTACATCTCCTTTAATCTCTCAGTGAAATATGTCTTCGTATTGATACCTGTGATACAAAGAAAACTGAGTGCGTCAGACTTGAGAGCTTGGTGAGCATATAGGGTTTTTAACCCACAATAATACACTTATTATTCAATCATCAAACAATCAAACCAAATACCCATCCCCATAACTCCTTTATTTCTTAAGGGATTACCCTAAGAACCAATTATCCTTCATTCATTCATTCCTAAGGATTTACCTAAGGAACTGACATGAAGTCCATTGCTGCCAAAGTTTATCTATCAGATACTAAATCCATAGCTATCAGGCGCTAACTCCAT